GCGTGTGAGATGGGTCGTTGTCTGGTATGCTTTGGTTTGGACAACTTGGAATTCTAAAAATGAGAAAATATTTAAGAACGAAGCTGTAGACACGAAAATGGTATTTGATCCAATACAGACGAGAGCCTTTCAGTGGATTAAGAACAAAGGAAAGGTAAGACATTTCTATCTACCATATTGGATTATTAATCCTAGCTGCTGCTGTAGTTTTAAAAGGTATGAGCATGATGTTAGCCTATACCATTTCTGGGGACATGGAGAAATTTTTGGCTTGATCTAATAGTTTGTTACCTTGCATGTATATTGGTTCTAAGTACTTCTTGCACTCAATCAATAAAACTTTTTTTGCTAATGGAAAAAAAAAAAAAAAAAACTAAGTCCAACTTAATCTAGAATTTTATTGTCAAAATTATTTGTGATGAAATCAAGCAAGGGAAGAAGTATAGTAAAAGAACACTGAGTTTTAGACATGCAACATTATTAATGTAAATGAAAGTAGAAATTTACCTCAAGAGTTGCACTTCTCCTCTTCCTTGTATTCTCGTACTTTGTGGTGGATGATTTTCTAGTTGAAAAATCTACAAACTATTTTAAAGAATGGACTTGGTTAGTTATGCAATTATGTTATTTTCCATGCACACATGGTTATTTAAGCTAGAATTTAAATAATGCACTGAATAAGCATCATAAAAGCATGTTGCATTTTTGAATCTGTGGTAAAAAGCTCCAAAAGTAACTTGAGGCTGCTTCTAAAGTTAATTGGGGTTGAAATGACTCAAAGTTATTTAGGGTTGCTCCTCAAGTTAATTGAAGCGGGTGGTGATGATGGTAGCTACAAAATCCTAAGGTTGGTGAAATTCCTAAAAATTCCATGGAAACTTAAGTAATATAGACAATAGTACGGTGAACAAGGCAGTAGACATTGTAGAACATGAATCAATACCCAAGCACACAAAGAGAACATGCTAGAACTAATGAGACACTAGTTGAGGCTGAGCAAGTGGAAACCTTGAGTGCCAAGTTAAACTAAACAATTTCAAAAGTGGAATCCACCTGTTTCTAAGGGAACTTATGAAACCGTGAATGTTGATGAATGGGCGAAGGGTTTGAAGCAAATTTTTCAAGGGATGAGAAGCAAGGATCTTTAGAGGGTTAATTTGGCTATATTTATGCTAAGAGGTGAAGCTAGGAATTAGTGGCAACCTATTCAAGAAAGTTATGTGAAAAGAAGGAAGGTTATAGCTTGGAAAAGTTTCATGAAAGAACTATATAAAACTTACTTTTCCAAGGCCACTCCCAACAAAAGGAAAAGGAGTTGAACATTTTAACTCAAGGGCAGATGACAGTAAACAAGTGCCAAGCTAAGTTTAGTGATTTGGTATATAGTTTGCTCCCAATATGGTGACCAATAAGCTAACCAAGGTGAGGAAGTTTAAAAAGGGATTGAACACTTCTGTTGGAAGTTAGGTGGTAAGACATGAAGTGGCCACATACTTTGCTACTATGAAGATGACACAAATTATTGAGCTGCACCATGATACCAAGAAAGGGATTTCTAGTGAGCAAAAAGATAAGAAAAAAACTTTCAATATTTAGCCTCAAAACAAGAAATTTAAGAGACAAGGAAAAAGAAAGGGATTTATCAACATCGAGGTAGAGGTGGGTAATTGCAAAGTATGTCACATAAAGCATGATGGCAAAAATTGTAATTGGCAGAAAAGGACTTGTTTTAAGTGTGGCAAAGTGGGTCACTTGGCCAAAAATTTTCCTAAATCGAACCCAGCGGAGGAAAAAAGAAAAAGTTGTGAGAAGGTTGTTTGTCCTCGCTAGAAAGAAACAAGGGAACCCGGTTGTGATCCAAGTAAACTCCCTATTTTAAATGGAGTTGCTAAAATCTTAATAAATCCTAGGTCAACTTAATTTTTTGTATCCCCCAATTATGCTGCATATTTGCATGTTAAACCCATGAGTTTAGGTTGTGAATTGGAAGCCCTCTTTGGAGCTATTTTATCCTCTTATACAATGTATAGAGGATGCTATGTTGTTAATGGGCAATTTACGCCAGCTGACATGATTCTTCTTAATATACATGAATTTGATGTAATTTAAGAATGGACTAGTTGTTACCTTTCAAATTCCTAATAAACTTATTATTCACTTTAGGAGCCAGGGTTTACATGCAAATCCTATAATGGTTTCTGGTATAAGGGTTGGAAAATTATTACAGCAAAGTTGTACAAGACATCTTGCTTATATTTTTTTAAAATAAAAGCAAGCCTAGTAGTGTGAAAGGAATCAAGGTAGAGGAAAATTTTAAGGATGTTTTTCCAAAAGAACTACATGGATTACTTCCTAGGAGAAAGGGAGAGAATTTATAATTGACTAGGTGCGTGAAACTACACCAATAACACAGCCCCTATACGGGATGTTCCTTATAGCAATAGTTGAGTTAAAGAAAGAATTACAACAACTATTAGATAAAGGTTTTATTTGGATGAGTGTTTCTTCATAGGTGTTCTGGTGTTGTTTGTAAAGAAGAAAGATAGTTCCTTGTGACTTTGCATAGATTACTAAAAATTAAATCAAGTGATAGTTAAGAAAAGGTACCCTATATCCAAAATGATGATCTTTCTTTATCAATTATAAAGTGTTAAAAGTGTTTTCTAAATTGACTTAAGATCAGGTTGCTATCAATGAGAATTAGGGGTAAGGATGTTATGTAGATAGCATTTAGAACTAGATATGGATATTACAAGTTCTTGCTACTTCCTAGTTATGCCTTTTGGGCTAACAAATGCCCTAACAACATTTATGGATCTCATCATAGAGTTTTAGAACCTTATCTAGATAGATTTGTTATAGTCTTTATATATGTTGTCCTTATTTACTCCTTGATGAGAAAAGTCATGAAAAGCACTTACACCCTTGTACTGCAAAGGTTAAGGGAAGAACTAGATGCCAAATTAGATAAATGTGAGTTTTGGTTAACTCAAGTAGGTTTTTAAGGGCATATAGTTACTGTGGAGGAAATTTTTGTTGACCTAATAAAATTGAAGCCATAGCAAGTTGGGATTGACCAATTAATATTTATGAAGTTAGAATCCAATGTTTTGAAAACCAAACCAGAGATCAAACCATTTTGTCTTCTAGTTTGAGTGGTTTGACTGGTTTGACTTGTTTAACAATCAAAAATTCAGCCTGACAATATTAACTTTTAATATAATAAATATATAATTAGTTTTGTAAACTAGCCAATTGAATGGTTTATTGGTTTGTATCAATTTGAACAGTTTTGTTAGTTTTGTATTGTTAAACTACCTTACTAGTTCTAAGTACTTACCTAACTTTTTATTGCTCTCAAATACCAATTTGACTAGCTCAACCCTCTGGTTTGGTCTGGCTTTCAAAACATTGTTAGAATCTTGGTTTAGTTGATTATTGTTATAACTCAAAATTTCACCTAAAATTATATTTAGAAATCTTTTAGTCTTAAAAAAATATTTTTAATTAGATTTATTTTTGGCAAACCCCCAAATCCACCCCTTAAATAAGGAGGTAGAGATAGATTTACCCCCAAAAAAATGCAAGGACAAATTACTCCTCCAAATTATAACTCGAGATAAATCTTTCATTTTTTAACATATGATATCAACTTTCCGTTAAAAATGCTGACGTGACAAACAAAATTCTGACGTCACATATTAAAAAATAAGTGATTTGTCTCGATTTATAATTTAAAAGGACAATTTATCCGTGCATATTTTTGAGGAGTAGATCTATTCCTGCTCCTTTATTTGAGGGGTGGATTTAGGTGTTGCCTTTATTTCCTATTGGGACTTGATCGTGAAAATGAAGGGCTTGTTTAAATTAGTAAGAGGAAAATACTAAAATTGGACTTAAATGCAGGAGTAATCAAGATGAAGGATCAAATGTCAAAATTGTAAGGAGTTGGTGATTTAGACCCCAAAATTAAATCCAAATACATACCCATTTCAGCTAAATCCATAATTAGCCCATTTTCGGCCCATTCACTAAAACTGACTCAAGCCCCTTCTATTTTGAAATCCCTCCCCCCTTTTCACTTCAAAACGGAGACACAAAACGGTATATTCTGCAGTTCTTCTTCCCCCGTTCTGCCTCTAGCTCCCATCCGTTCCTCGAAACCCAGCCCTTCTCATATCCACGGCCCCAAATACCTCCAATCGGACAAAAAACAAGAAGACACAAGTCACGTGGAGACGCCTCTGCAAACCATCGGATTGGCCCCCTCCTGCAGATCCGTGCAAATCAAGGGCAAGGCATGTATTTTTCGACAACCCTCAGGTCCGTCCGTCCATTTCTTTATCTTTTGCCATCTAATGGCCAGGAATGAAGGGAAAGAAAAGGACCGGTGATGATGAATTAAGGGAAAAAGGCCTCGGGTTTTTGGGGATTTTCCTTGTATAAATAGGGGAGTGTCCTAAGTTCTAGGGGGACTTTTTAGGTACAGCGGACAGGGAGGATTTTCAGATCTAGGGTCGGAGAGGAAGACATCAACCAAAAAAAAAAGGGAGAAAAAATCTGACAAAAAAAAAAAAGAAGTAAAAAGGATAGGAGGTCCGGCATTGAAAGAAAATTTTGGGTGTTCCTCCTCTGGTCTTGTGGCCTGAGTATGGATTTCTAATCATTGTATTTCTATTTTGATGGGAGGATCAATGAAAAATCACCAAAGCATGGTTTACATTTACTCTGATCGTTATGTGCGTTCAATTTTAATTTAATTGATTCTGAAATCTAGTTGCTGTTGAATTTTTTTTGTTCTTTTCTTTTCTTGGGTCATTGATTTGTTGTTTAGGAATTTGCTGTTGGAGGATTTTCTGCATGATTTATGTTGAATAAACTTGAATTTTTCGAGGTTAGGACCAATCCAACATTTTGGGTTTCTATTGCAACCCTTATAATTGTTTGGCACAAATTAGCGATGGGTGGGGTAATCCTTATTGAATTAGCCCCTACCAGATTATTAAAAAGAGAAGAATCTGATTTTTGGGAATTATTAAAATGCCACTAACTTTGTCTAGATATATAAATAGTTCAAATCACTAGTTGAACTCATTTTTACTTCTCTTCTTATTTTTTGGTGCCAGACGGAAAAAAAGAAAAGGAAAGGGAGTTTCTACAGCAAAGTTGAGAAAGGTTTAAGGGAGAGCTTTTGTTCAACTTGGTTATGGTAAGGTAAATTTGGCTTTAATTTAACTTAGTCCAACTTAATCTAGAATTATATATTGTTAAAATTATTTGTGATGAAATGGAGAAAGGGAAAAAGTTCAAAAAAAGAAATAAGGGTTTTAGACATGCAATGCTATTAAAGTACGTGCAAGTAGAAATTTACCTCACAGCTGCTCTTCTCTTCTTCTTTGCACGATCAAACTTTGTCGTGGATGATTTTCTGGTTGAAAATCTGAAAAATATTTGAAAGAATGGATTCTGTCAGTTATGCAGTTATGCTATTATGCTTAGATACAAGTTTATGTAAGCTAGAATTTAAATAATTCATTGCATAAGGATCACAAAGGGATGCTGCATTTCCGCATCTATATAAAGAGCTCCTAAAGTAACCAGGGGCTGCTCCTATAGTTAATTTGGGCTGAAATAAGTAAAAGGGCTATGCCAATTTCTAGGGATATTTGCGGTTGTTGCTGGAGTTAACTGGGGCTGATTTAGAAATTTGAAAGGACTGCAAAAGTTATTTGGGGTTACTCCTAAAGTTAATTGGAGC